AAAAATCCATGCATTTATAAAATGGTGCATTCGAAAAAACAATAACAACAAACCCTTTACTTCTACATTTATTGGCCCCAAATGTGGACCCACATAGTTGTTGACAATTAGAAAGCTTTGCTTACATTTCTGCACTTAACCTGACCCTTTGCTCTATCCTGTCTTCATTACACTATATAACAGCTACATTTTTTATGGTTAACTCCTCCATCAGACCATGTGCTTCTGAAAAGCAATGCTCCATTATTATCTATCATTGTATCTCCCAGTGTCTATCTCAAGGCTGCACCAGAGAAAGCATTAAATTCATATATATTGAATACAAATGTTGAAGTGTCTTAAAACTTCAGTATTCAGAGTGGTTCCATATTCTTGGGCTATACAGTTTTTTATACTCTAGGGATGAAAGAAAGACTAGATGCCTTTGAGCTGTGGTGCTGGAGAAGAGTGTTGAATATACCATGGACTGCTAGGAGAGCAAACAGGTTTGTCCTGGAGAAGGTGAAGCCAGGCTCCTCCTTGGAGTTAAGGATTCTGAAGCTTCATCTGACATACTTTGGGCATGTTGTAGGAAGGGACTGGTCCTTGGAGAGGGACATCATGTTTGGGAGAGAAGAGGAACAGCACAGGAGAGGAAGACCCTCGATGAGATGGATCGATTCTGTGATTGAGGTGGTGGGAGTGAGTGTGTCAGAGACAGTGAGGTTGGCATAGGATAGAGCAGGGTTTGGGGCTTTTGTACATAGGGTCGCTATAAGTCACAAACGACTCGATGACACATAACAGCAACAACAACAATGACTTCTATTGGGCCCCTCCTCTCCTCAATCTCCCTTTTTCTTTAAATCCATAGTTTTTATTCTGGACATGTAATTATATTCATTGCCTCTTACGACATGGACCCTTCTAGATATTAACATATGCAAGCTTACTTGCTAACATGGTGTTTTACATCAAAAGGTCTTTAGTGCATAGTAACTGAAAGAGCAAACGAGCTTTAAAAAAATCCTTGTAGAGGTGTCATGTTTTAAGAATCTGGGGTGTGAGCTTCTATTTGCTTGACTTTACTCTGAGAATCTTGAGAGATGTGGATTCAAGGTATCATTTTCTACTACTTTCAAAGTACTAGTGAGGATTTTTTTCCCCCCTGCCTATATAGAGATACTGGCAGTGGACCACTTTAATACTTCAATTTGGATTTTCCTGAACAATATGTTCCTGTTGTTGTTAGGTGCTGTCAAGTCAAGTGTGAAGCACAGTGATCCTATGAACAAAAGATCTGAACCCTGTTCTATCCTGTGCCATCCTCACACTTCCTGACACGTTAGAGCCTATGGCAGCAGTCACCATCTGGTTGAAGGCCTTCCTCTTCTTTGTTGACTCTCCACCCTTTCCAGTATCATGTCTTTCTCCAAGCAACATGCCTAAAGTATGTGAGGTGCAGCCTTGTCATTCTTGCCTCCAAAGAGCACACTGGTTGCACCCTCTCCAAGACATATCTGTTTGTTCTTTTGGCCGTTCGTGGGCCGTTCAGCTTGAACTTGCATATGAGTAATTGGTGGTTTTTTCCACAATCAGCCCCCGGCCTAGTTTTCACAGCTGATATTGAGCTTCTCCAGCGGTTCTTAACACAGATGTAATCGATCTGATTCCTATGCATACCATCAGGTGAAGTCCATGTGTATAACCTG